CCATGGTGATATGCAATTCCCATGGTGATATGCAATTCCCATGGTGATATGCAATTCCCATGGTGACATAAAATCTACGGTGATAAAACATGCTTCTCATTACCTGTCCGACGGCATACAAACATTCATCTGGTGTGATGACCTGAAAACATAACAACATGAAATCTTTTATTACAGTAGAATAAAAAGTCCTTAAATATTCACAATATTTCATAAAAGGTTGGTGAACGTTTTATTGCATATTTTGTATACCAAGACCTAAATACTCTAGTTTCAAGTTTTTTTAGTTTTAATTGTGCATAAAACATTCACAACAGAGAGCAAAACCCGTGGAAGGCAAAAGCGATTGCCACCAATTTGGATTGTCGCAGGAGGTGATTATGGKGTGATAAACTGAGTTTCTTGACCAATCAGMGCGCGGGATTTTCAATAAACACTTGAGTACTTATACTAATACTAAATAATATATAGAGGATATTACATGGGCATGCAGAGATATGAATTTTATCTTCGAGTGTGCACAGCGAACGAGTGAGATACGTATCAATTGAACACGAGAAGATAAAATTCGTATCTCCAAGCGGCCATGTAATGTTCTGTTTATTATATAGATATCGATGAAACTTAAATAAAACAAAAGCTCAAAAATTCTTTATTAAAATAGCAAGCCGATTCAACAGCGATATCTTCACGTATGAATGATATGGTATCTTCCACTTGTGAAAGATATCAAGTTTTCGACACTAGAGAAAACCTGGCATTTCATCAATATCTATATAATAAATTACATTATGTAGCTGYGCAATGGAGAACTTGAATATTCAATTGGTGAAAGATCTTGACAATATGGAAATTCTGAAACCTTAGTCTACACATTATTAAAATACACAATGTGATACAAATTTTACCACATTTGTGAATTTTCTCCCTCTTTGATTGGTCTAGAGCCGTGGGAGATAGGAGGACATACCAATAAATTACACCAGCAAATCACGTGCAAGCTTGAAAACTTTTTTTAAATTTTACCCTTGTTTTCGTAGTAAAATTGTTAATTTTCTGTGGTAAAAAGTCAATTTTCTCCAGTTTTCCATCGTATGTTCTCTTATTTACCACTTTTTTCGTCATCTAGCCATCAAAATATGTTGTGGACTCACTCGGCTATGCTTCATGAGTCCGCACCATTTTGATGGCTAGATGACGAAAATCGTGGTAAATATGAGGAAATACTACAAACAATTGGAGGAAATTGGTTAAATGGTTGTAAACTCACATAGGGCATTTACTTGAATGATTCATATAAATGTCCAAATGATGGATACAGTATCTTTTAACAGGAGGTTTCCACTAAGGAATGTAGACAACATTCGTAATGTTTTGAGACATTAACGTTTAATGTTTGTGGGCATGACAATAACGTTGTTTTTCTTGCATTTCCACACTACAGTGTATTCTGTAGTAAAACCAATTTAATCTACCATTAGAATACATCGTTAAAAAATTGATATAAATCTTGCATTCCGATTGGTTGGGAGCGTGTTCATGATGAGAGCCGACAGCATGTGCTCACTATTTCAATTTTGTTATTTGTATCCAAATTAATRAGTAATCTTATTTGTTTTTTATTTTTATTTTTTCTATTTAAGAATAAATAAATAAATAACTTGCTGTGCTGTGTGAAGTTATAAAGCACTTGGATATTGGCAGAAGCCTTTAGTAGTGTCAAGAAGCACTTCGCTAAGCGTCATGCTTTTTCAAACCCCGGAGGGGGGTGGTACTCTTTCCCATTTAGGGTAGGGATGTGCCGTTGAGCCCACTGAACCCTGGCCCTGTTCCAGAGTAAAATCGCGGAAAATCCTAACCTGTTCCGGTATTGCGAAAATGGATACCCTGTTCCAGAGAGGAGAGAGCATGATTTCATATACCCTGTCCCAGAGCGAGCACGATTTTATATACCCTGTTCCAGAGCAGAATAGCTGAAAACCATATCCTGTTTAGCGGCACGTCCCCGTATAGTGAATATAGGGGCGTACCCCCCCCCCCCGACTCCCAACACGTCTCCTGTCTATCCCCATCCCTGCATTTCTTCATAAATGCACACAGCATGCTGGCAAGTTTTTTATTTRCATTATTTGCAGTTTGCTGGTAGGTGTGGACCCATCCTGCATTACCTGGTCTATTCTGTCCTTCCAGCCCAACCTATCCAAACCAGCTTTAGCCAGGATGAGGGCATCATATAGTCCATTCTCATCAAGTTTTCTCAGTCTGGTATTCAGGTTTCCTCTCTTAAGTRTTTGGTTAAGAAGTTGTTGAACTTTTTGGCCAATATGTTAATAACTATCATCATCATCTGCCACAGTATCCTTAGCATTATCATCATCATTGTCATATATCATTATCACCATGATCATATCATGATAATGAAACCCCATTATCATCATCACCACCATCACCGTCATTATCACCACCATTATCAGCATCAATATCATTCCTATCATTCACCACCATCACCATTATCATTGTCAGCATCATCATCACTACCAACACTACAACAATCATCATCACCATCATCATATATCATCATCACCATCATCATCAACATGACCATTGTCATAACCATCCTCATCATAATCACCAACATCATAACCACCATTATCATCACCATCACCATCATCATTGTATATTATCATCATTATCATATATCATTATCATCACCATAATCACAATCATCATCACCATCATCATCATGCATATATTATCATCATCACCATCATCAGCTTTATGTTAATACAGTTAGCTTGTGCATAGTATATGAAACTAATTACCCTTGTATTCATTTGTAAATATTAAAAACTGCACAAAATAAAGTATGTCATTGTCGTTATGGTTACAAACATCTATCAAAGGATACAACATTCTCAAACTTCAAATGAGGGAATTTCCGAGTCAGCTGTGCAATCCGACGAAGAGAACAGGTACCAATAACACTGAAATATTCCAGGAAATAGAAAGAGGGATGTTTTAATCATCAACAATGCAATCTCAACTGTCATTTCTAGTGACATAATAATCATAAATAATAATAATAATCACCAACATCATCATCATCAATTATTATCACTATCATCCCACCATCATTACCATCACTATCATCTTCATTATTACCGTTAGCAACATCACCACCATCATCAGTATCATCACCATTACCATCACTTTCATCTTCACCACCATCACTTTCATCTTCACCACCATCACTTTCATCATCACCACCACCATCATCATCAGTACTATCATCATCGTTATTATCAGTACTCTTATCATCTATACAATAATCATCTCCACCAACATCATCATCATTATCATCATCACCATTATCATCAGTACCATCATCATCACCATCACCATCATTATCACCACCACCATCATCACTATCATCATCACCATTATCAGTACTATTATCATTAATACCATTATCATCTCCACCAACATCACAGTCATCATCACCATTATCATCAGTACCATCATCATCACCACCATCACCATCATCATTACTATCATCATTACCACCATCATCATCATTACTACGTCATCAGATAATGATCACCATCATCACCACCATCATCACCACCATTCCCATCTCTAACACGCCACAGGGTAACCAATATCCTACCTTCCTGCAGGAAGATCCTGCAGTTTTAACCCTTTGTGTTTTAGATGAAGGATAAGAGCATCATGAGGATCCTGTCTCCTATGGATAWAATAAGAGAATGACATAACGTGGCCAAAAACTACTCCTATTTGACTGCACAACTTTTTTACTCCAACGAAGGACTAGCGTCCGAAACATCAGTAAGTTTTTTCATCTTTTCACAGTGTATATCTTTTACCCTTTTATCATTACTGTTTCATTAGAAACACCGACGCAGCTCACACTACTGTAGTTTTTAGCTAGTTATCTCTTCTTATGACTGCACAACTATAATCTTATAGCAGAAAGAACGACTGAAGACAGGTTCCAAGTTTAAACTAGGACTTWAAAAAATTTGGTTTCTCTGACTTACATATCTGAATTAAATTGAAATAATTGGGTTTCCTAAGCATTGTGTTGTGGGTGTCGATCAATATTCAGGAATCCCTCACAACACAAGTGAAGTGAGTCCCATGTATTTAGCAATCCCTGGGTTCTTACACTATTATAAACCCGAGGTGACATTATTATTGCAATCAAAAATTAACATTAATTCATAATAACTGATAAGTCAATTACTTGTATATAGCGCCGATTGCCATGCCAGGGGGGAGATTGGTTGGGAGATCCTTCAACGAGTGCACCAATAAATCAGCCCTGAAATGAACACCAAAAACAATCAATATTAATTAACTCATTGGAGTCATACATAAATTACACAAGATTATAAATGATTTTATTAGTTATTATCAATTATTATTATGGTTATACCAGGGATGGATCTAAGATTTTGAGTTGTTTTCAACCCAGAAACAGTTTGATCTCCATGGTAAAATCTCAAAAATACTTAGAGGTTCAAGAGYTCATGTTTTCCCATTTCAGAACATGTGTCATTTTCTTGGAAATAAATTTCTTTGCTTGAGTTATATCCATATTCATKTGTCTCCCAGTGTGCTCTATGAAATAATTACTCTTCATGAGCTTCGAAAACTCCACTTGCTTATGGACTATATTACGGGCCTAATTTTTGCTACCCAATGTAAAGATTTACTTATTCCAGACTAGCAGACTAACGTTAATGTCAAGCATGGTCACTGACACCCAACGAACATCACCCAGACCCCCACCCGGTAATCATCATCAGTATTGTCATCGTGCTCATTATCATGCATGCTGGTATTCATTAATATCAACGTCATGGTCATCATTATAATAATTATTATTATTAATATTATTACTAATTAATATTATTAGTAATTAGAAATGTGCTTGACAAACAAGCCTACCACCTTCCATCTTCAAGGGCTATTTCTAACTCTTTGGTGAAAAGACTTGACTCTCCAATCTAAGTAGGAAAAAACAACAAAAACCTTCAATTTTCTTATTACCCAACCTGCAGAGGTCATTTTCTGCCCTCTGTTATGGCTTTAGTTAGGGGGAGAAAAAAACACCACTAGAGTGAGAGCCACCCTGAAATGATCGTTCCTTTTAAAGAAATTTCCCCCCAATTTTTGGAAGTAAGTCAAATGAAAAACTGGTTTGCAAACCAATAATCCCAAATATTACGTTACATTGAGCATAAATTTTTTAACCCTCACCAGAAATGTAACCTAGGTAACCATTAAAAAATCAGATTTGTATATGTGATAATTATGTCAATTATATATCAAGCACGGGTGGCGTAGCGGTGTAAGCGCTCGCCTCTCATCAATGTGACCTGAGTTCGAGTCCTGCTGGGTTCGGTGTTGTATATGAGTAGAGTTATTTGTTCTCTYCTGTGCTTTGAGGGTTTTCTGGAGTCTCCGGTTTTCCTCCCTCTGCAAAAATCAACTCCTAAAATTCCAATTCCATCACRGAAGGGAATGAGGGCCACAGATTTGTTAGCCACTGKCTATTAAGTRCTACCCTTGTAAAAAAAGGAYTTTKTATYATTATTTTAGTTGTGTTAACCTATTACAAGAGCAGGATATTTTCAAAAAACAAAACTTACATTTAGCTTAAACTTAACATGCTTCTATACTTCAAAAACTCACTTAAATTTTGGATRATGAATTTATTCTAAAGCATTTGGAACTGCTTTTGATGAATCTGGGCAGTCCGGAAATATGTCTTACATTTCTAAGGAAACTGCTGCACATGTTCAACATTGATTGTCTCAGGGCAGAGGTATTTTTTTCCCTAACCAGCCTACTGCTCAGTCCTACTGAGAGGAAGAAAAACTACCCCCGTTTTTTTTGAACCCGATGCAATTCCTAGGCTGATCTAAGTCAGGGCATCACAAATCCAACCCTGATAAAACCTCCGGGCTGGTCTAATTAGTCGGCAGGGCTCAGGTAACTCATATATTAAATGGGAATAAATCATGTCACTGAAAATCTAACGACTTTAAAATACTGTTGACCTTTGGTAGAGGTTTGTCCAGAACTTCATCTCCAATTGTTTGCATGGAAACTGAAAAATATATTGAATGGAAAACAAAAATGAATTATTGAATCCTAAAAAGATAAAACTGAGATTTCTCACTTTACCAAGATCAAATGAAACTCCAGGATTTAGTTCTTTCAATTTTCCAACTATAAAATTGGTTTGGACCATTGCTAACTGCAAAACAAAAAATATGAATGGAAGTTAAAATTATGATCAACATGAGGCCATTCGCAGGACATATAATCACATTACTGTTATTGAATGTCAAAAAAAATTAAGACTATCTTTATTCAAATAACTTTTACTGGATTACTAATGTCAACCCATACGAAAATTATCGCTGATATGCGAGCGAAAGTCTAGCCTGCTTTTCCCACTATTAGATACTTTTGATTTCAAGTTACAAAGCAATAGACCTTATTTGTGGTGTGACAATGTTTTCCCAATTCAGCGTGACAAACCTCCAGGGGATTCATTTTCTTTTGTTTTTACTCATCGAAAAATTCATGAGTATCCCAAAGGATACGAAAGGAATAACGATGATATCCCGACGAGTTTCAAAACAATAGCTCTTCATTCCCCCAGAGGTTTGTCAYGCTGAATTGGGAAAACATYGTCACACCACGAATAAGGTCTATTTAAAGTTYGTTTGCCATCCAGCAGAGCCTTCCCCTTTGGCTGAACTGATTTGTTATCAAAGTGWTATATATCAGCAAGTGACTGCTTGTTGCAAATGGCCTATTACATCTGTATAGTACGCCATGAAATACATTACAAATCAACCATGTAATWTAACAGCCAACATATCATTACTAATGAAGCAATATGAGTGGTTTTCATAAACCTATAAAGTACACTTTAACTTATTTATTACTAACACACTAAAATTTTCTTGTTTTCTATTTTGTTTACATAATTATTACACTCTGATGGGTTTATGAAACTACTCTATCACAACCGCCACCCACTACCATATCAACCGCCACCCAGTTAGCTCAGTTGGTAAGAGCGTCAGTCTGTTGTGTGGAAGGTTATGGTTCAAGCCTCGGCCGGACCAACACTCAGGGTCTTAAAATAACTGAGGAGAAGGTGCTGCCTTTGTAATTATATCTGCAAATGGTTAGACCTTCAAGTCTTCTTGGAGAAGGACTTAAAACCGTAGGCCCCATCTGTCTTCACTATATAACCCTGTATAAGGCGGACATAAAAGATCTACTGAAGACGCTGGTGATGACCATCTTCAGTGCTGTGCTAAAAACTCGAGGGCCACAAGTTAATCAGTTAACAAAATTACTGTCACGTGTCACCCTCATTAAATAAAGTCTTCAATCAATCAATCAACCCAAATGTTTTAAATAAATCAGAAAAATTAGTGGCAAGCCTTTATTTGTCTCAAAAAATGACCGATATTAAAAAAAGGAGTATTCCTTTTCTTATATCATAAGCAAATACATGTTTGACCAAACTACGTTACGAATCCAGACACATCAGGAAACAAAGAAGATTTATGTTCAAACAACAAATTGTTTGTTTCGTTGAAGTTTTACATTATTTATTTTTTTATAATTTTTAGAATAATAAAGAATACTAACCCTGAGTAAATGAATACATAGTACCCTTCAAATTGACGTTCTCAATGCTAGTAAAAATTATTTTTAAAAATCAAAAAWTTTCGGAAGTGTTTCACGGTACAACGCGCAAAACATAGGTGTCAACATTAGAAAGACAGCAGCATTAATAGTCGAAAATGGTGGTATAAAATAAACAAACTATGAATTTTCCTCTCAAAATCGACTTGGAATTCGCAGAAAATGCATTTTTCAAYGTTTCTAGTCAAAATAACATATAACTGAAGATTGAACCTTGACTTTCTAGCAAGAGAAAGATAAGTCTTCTAACGACAAGCAAATTACGTAACGTTCACAGCATGCATCACGACAAGTGTCTTCTCGAACATTTGCAAGAAAAATCATCTCCAAGATAGATTTGCAAGACAAAAAAACGCCTATAGTCGAATTGTGAAAGGAATATTGACTTATCGCTCCGTTCTTATCCATAATATTTTGCATACAAGAAATTTCAGTCCAGTGGTCTACATATTTGTAATACCTAATCCATGCTAATCATCCATRCACAAGGGGAAGGAAACGCCTACAATCGCGCTAACTACTCGCAATACTCACCGCACTATCTCGAGTTCCAACCTTTACGGTACTCCCAGCCTCATGTTTCAAGCCCATTTTTGAAGGATTGTGAAGAGCTTTGGCTTAAAAAAAGCAACTAAACTCTGCGAGAATGTAGACTAGTCGTTCTATGGAACACGAGACAAAATCCCGGGGTCATCAATAATCGACAGGCGTTACTCGTCTATGGAGTGAGACTAGGACGAGACGATTTTACTCACCCGAACGAGGCTTTCCTTCCTCCGCCATCTTGGATTTTCCACGCTGAATTGAAGAAAAGAATTTAAGTCGACTTTATTTATATTTTATAAAATAATGGCGGCGTTATTCCGGTCTTCTTTGCTTCTACAGCGTACCTCAACTATTGCTCCAACCATTTTGAGTAGAAATATTGGAATGAGTGGCGTAGTTTGGGCAAAAATGGACAAGAATTCCGACCCTATTCAACGACTGTTCGTAGAGAAGATTCAAAGTTATAAACAGAAGAGCAAGAATAGTGGAAAACTGTTTGGCGTTACTCCAGAAATAGAAGCTGAGATTGAAAAAGAAATGGGGCAAATCAAGAGACGATTTGGAGGAGGAAATTTAGAGGAATTCCCAAAGTTTGATTTTGCTGAGAAATAAGAACTTTGGATTAATTTTGGATCGAACTTTGGTGGAAAAACTGTGTTTGATTCACTTGAAGAAAAATTTGGAGTGCACACATCTACAGCAATCAAGATTTACTTGGATTTTGGGACTGTATGTTCTGTTTTGTACAAGTTTCTAAGGTTGTTGATTTTGTCTTGGAGTAAAGTTATATTTGATTGTATTTGTTTTTTGTTTTCTTGGATTCCCTGGGTTGGATTATACCGGGATAATTATAATACACTCAGCCAAATTACTCAATTCTGATTGGACAAGAGGAGTACAATTAAATCCCAAATTGAACTCTGTAGAGTCCTAATTAGGTTGCTCAATTTTGTTGAGTGTATCATAAACAAAAAATTGCATAATCTTCTCGTACAGCTCAGGATTTATAGGTGCTCATGATGTTTTCAAAAAGTTCTCGAGATCGTGCGTTTTCCTATACTAATAAATTGCTAGTGGTTTGAGTACGATGATGTAGCATACTGTACTGAATTGTACTTGGTAACTGCATAGAGAAGTTTTCCTATTACTGTGAAAAGTCAGTGCTGTATGTGTGCTTTGCTGCTGCTGTGATGTTTTCTAAGAATTCGATTGGCTGAATTTTTTTCTGCACAATGTGGTTGGTCTGCCAGTACTGTGACCTTGGTGTGACAGTCCCACACCTATGTTCTTGC